CCGTGCACTAATACTCGTGTATGCTTCTACAGAGAGATACAAAGTCTCTTGTATTAATCAAGGTCTTGTGTTAATCTCTTCATAACGACAACCCATACTTGCCTGCATATAATAATGTTAGAAAATTTTATGATTTTATATTAATACCGTAATGGTTATAGTGATGAAATAATGGAAACATTTTTATGTTATATGAAAGAGGGTTAATTTTGTAGACTAGCATTTTTATTATATATATATATATATATATATATATATATATATATATATATATATATATATATATATATATATATATATATACATATATATATATACATATATACATATATATATGTATATGTATATGTATATTTATTTATTTTTTCTTAATCTTTACAGGGATATTCCAGTCAGGATATATTTGAAGAATATGAATTTAAAAAATAAATATGAGACTCCAGTGAGGATACACTTGAAGAATGTATATGCTACTCTCACCCTTGCTACCATAGCAGCCTCTGTTGGTGGCTATGCCCACATGTTCAGCACATTTATTAGTTCTGGATTCATGACTTTTCTGAGTGCCATTTGGGTATTAATATTACTCGTATTTACACCTTATGATGGCAAAAACCAGCTGCAGAGACTTTCTCTCCTTGGTATCTTTGCCTTCTTGACTGGCTGTAACCTTGGCCCATTTTTGAATCTGGCTGTGACTATCAACCCTGCATTGGTAAGTGAATCTATTAAGGATACACATCGTCATTTTATTCATATAGTTATGTCATTAATATTTGAACGTTTAACTATATTTATATTGACTGACTTTTTATTTATTTTATATATATATATATATATATTTTTTTTTATAGGTTTTGCAAGCTCTGCTCGGCGCAAGTGTGATATTTGCTTGCTTCTCCCTATCAGCTCTCTATGCTCCTGATGGTCATTACCTCTATCTTAGAGGTACACTGATGTCGGTATTGTTAACCCTCATTTGGGTTTCGATATATAATATCTTCTTTGGCTCTCAACTCCTTTTTAAGGTAAGTCTAATAATGGAGATTGTCTTTTTTTATTATAAATCAATGAGTATTTATTATTCTGATAATTATTATTTCTATGCTTTTTATGTCTGTCTTATTTTTTTTTTAGGCAAATTTGTACATTGGTCTAGCAGTCATGTGTGGCTTTATAGTCTATGACACTCAGTTCATTGTTGAGAGAGCACGCCGAGGAGATATGGACTATGTGATGCACAGTTGAATCTATTCGTTGACTTTGTTGGAGTATTTTGGCGCCTTCTCATGATCCTTACAAATAAGGTAATTTCTTATAGTATAGAAAATGGTAAACATGTACAATCGCCTTATTACAAATATATGATAAAGAAAGAATTTGCTATGAGTCCATATCCAGTAATTATAGACGTTCAACTAACGTTGTATTTTTTTTTTTTCAGGAGGCACAGAGCAAGAGGAAGAAAAAAAGCTGTAATAAATAAGGAAATATAACATATTACATTACATAATATTGTTTATCGGGTATTTGATATAATATTGCTTATCGAATACTTGTAAGGAAATAAACCATAAGGTTATCATGATTTTTTTAATAAAAATTTTTTGGCAAAATATTTTTTTATTGACCAGACAAAAAGTATTGTTAATTCTGATTATTTTCATTGAAAAGAAACTTATTTTTGTTAGACATATCCAATAAGTTATTTTGAGACACAGGTGAAGCATTTATTTGAAGATCTACTTTACTGTCATTTTTACTGTTAATCATTTCAAATACATCTCTCTCTTTGTAAGTATTTGACTGATCATGGTCGGGAAGGTAGATGTGTTGATCATTCAATCGGAGAAACAATTCCTCCAGGAGAGAGTCAAAGGAGAGCATCTCCATATTTTTACTCAAGAGGTATATTAAGAAAAGATCGCCAATCTGTAACTTTTTCGAGACGTTTTGGTCCAAGACTTTCTTGTAGTGCAGCATACTCGCAGGCTTTTGGAATAGCAATGTCGACCTGATGACGGGAACGTAAAACATCAACAGACGATAGATAAACGCCGTTATACTAATGACAGTCAATACAATAAACCAAAACCACATTATAACATAAATCTTTTCGTTAATGATATTTAGGGCGAGCACACACATGAGATCGTGGATCTCAACTGTACCCGAAGGCCCATATGTATGAAAGGAACACTTGGTGACTCGCGGAAATATCACAATCATCGGGTCTGTTCGTTCTTCTTGATTGGTCCGTGAAGCTCAGTACGTCCGTCCCATACGTGAGAAACATCCCACCTAAAAATCTATTTCATAAACCACATATTGAACAAACAATTTATTATATTGAGCAACTCGCAGAAAAAAAACTTGATGGCATAAAAGTTGTGGTGATGAAGAGAATTGCATAGATAGTCGACCAGCAGTTGAATCTTATCGCGGCGTTCCTCTTTATTCATGATGGGGGTGGCTAGACCCATAATAATAGATTCCAGCTTGCCATTTTCCCATGTTTTCCAAAGCCAATGAGGTGCGTAGAACATCAAACCCTACAAGGAAAAAAAAAAAAAGAGATAAGTATGTCATATTATATATATTATATATATATATATTCTCTCTCTCTCTGTATATGTGTATGTATTTATCCATTTATGTTATACATACCTGTAAGAAGAGTACAAACGGTACCCATTGATAGTAGGCATGGTGCGTTTCGTGTCATCTGGTAAACTAGGGCCAACGCCAGGGTATGCCAAACCTGTCCCTTAATTTCATAAAGGAAGAGAAAAGAAACTTGAATCTTTTTATAAACTTGAATCTTTAACATTATACAGTATATTATATACAATGCAATATATTATAGTATGAATATTATCAATTATGTGAGTAATCTTACCTCTTCCGTATTTATCAATATCCTTGGTAACGTAAATGTCGTATGGATCCAACAATATGTGTTTACGACCTTATCTTTTAGTTTCGAGTTGTTATCATGCATGCAACTATCGGGAGAAAGTAAAACAAACCATTTGATATATATATATATATGATATATATATATATATATATATATATATATATATATATATATATATATATATATATATATATATATATATATATATATATATATATATATATATATATATATATATATATATATATGATAAATACTTACTTGATGGATCTCCGACTAGACTATTGCGCTAACTAAAAGACAAAAACTAAAGAGCATCATTGCCGTAAAGCGATAATGTAGTTTGAAAACGGCACTATAAATATCCGCTGCATTGTGATTAGTTTTTACGAGTCCTCGGAGACCTGTTAATAATCCTACTAACACCATTTTGTTTTACAACATGTAGGATAACAAGAAAACATAAATATTGTATATATTTACAATATCACTGACTAGATAAGTGTCAATATTCTAGTTAATAATATATATACATATATATATACATGTGTTATTAAATCAATCTATTTTAAAGTATATCATGTTTATTTTCTCCCCTTTATTTTTTATACAATTTCAATGGGTGTCTTTGTTTGAACATTAATATTTTATAGGGTACTTGTACAATTCGCAGTTTTGATTGTGTTTTTTTTTCTATTTCTAATCTGGTACGATAAGAAAGGTGATTTTCATTTTTCCTAAATTCAATACAATATTCAAGCGGTGGTCCTTTTTTTCTAATTTCTTTCACCATATCTATTTCTCCTAATATGTCTAACATCATTTGTTTTATACTAGTTGATAAATAATACAAGTAATAACATACTTTCGAATTTGGTAACTTGTCATTCTCTAAGTATAGGTGTCTATTGGTGATAGTTTTTTCAATTCTATTGAAATCTACTATAACTTCATTATTTTCAAGATCTATAAACTTTATTAAAACTTGGTGATATTCCATATTCTCATCATTTAATATAATTTGAAATTGCTCATATAAATAGAGGCATATTTTTTTCGGAATTTGATTTGTTGCATATTATATTGCTAATAGTCCGGTTTTTTCATCTCTAATTCATGTACCGTTTGATTGTATTGTTTCAATAAACTTGGTGAGGAATCATATGGTAGTTGCAATTGACCTCTTCCTGCTGCTGCCGTTGCCGACATGGAGGATGATGGATCGAGTTCTCGGTCCCATGCTCTGATAAAAACCTTGGATCCGCCTGTTGTTTGGGCGGACGATGGTCCGTGTTGCTGTTGTTGTGATATGTTATCCGTTAGTTGGGTTTGTGATTTTCTTTTCACGTCTATTTTCCTCATAGAAGAAACATTGTTTCGTTTTGGCGATAGTACGTGTTGTCTGTTTCGTTTTTTTTAATAAAAACTTGGGAACTTGCAATTTGCTATATCGTTGTGATACATCATTTGTTGTTTGTGTTTGTCTTTCTAGAATTGGTGAGGAAGCATTACCCCTTATTTCAAAATTATAAGTTTCTTTCCTCATTCCAAAGGGATGGGAAAAAGAAGCTATTCAATTGTAATCTCTTTATTTTTTAACATATATATCTTATGATTTTTTCTTAACAGTATATAAAAAAATGTATGGTTATTATTTATTTACATTCAATTTCATTTACAATTATTATTTGTTTATACTTGTTATAAACTTTAGCTTGATACTTATAATTGATTATAAATATCTATAAAGTATTTTATACTTGTGGGTTTCATGTTGTGTTTGATCAGGGTCTAATTCTATTCTTATTCTATAAGAAAATAGACGATCTATATCTCTTTTAAAATTTACAACAATCCTCTGCGAAGGACCATATTCCCTAAGACTCATCATATTGTTCATAATATCTAAAATTTCGACCATCATTTTCTTTACAGTCCATGGTTGTCTATATATAAATGTATCTATATTTGGCTCTATATTCTGTACTTGATACATATTAGAAGAAGTAGAATATACATACACTGTTGATACCAATTTGTTATTATCATAGGACACAACATCTCTAAATGAAATAAAGATACTGTGTTCATCTCTCGTGTCTCTTAGTATCTTATCCAAGTCTTCTTGAATTTTAGATAATACACTTTTTTCAAAAAATGTTCGTTCACATATATTCTTATTCAAATTGTTTTCAACTTCTGACACTTCTAACGCTAATGCGTCTGGGTAATATTGCTGTTGATGATTATCATAGTTATGATAATCTTCTTGTTGTTGCTGTTGTTGCAGCTGTAAAACAGCTTCTCCTTCAGTGGTGATTTGAGATCCATGTTGTTGTTGTGGTGGTGGCAATGTTAGGTGACGGTCTATATTTTCCAAGATTGGGAGTTCACTATAGTGTTGTTGTTGAATAATCTCGTTATCGTTTTGAATTGTATTAAAATCCTGTCGTTTTGACGATAACTGATCTGTAATCTGTTGCTGTTGTTGCGGCTGCTGTTGCAATTGTAACATGGTATATTCGTGGTCTGTCCAAACTAAATCTTGAGATCTGGATCTCATATCATAGATTTGTTCTGGTTGTTGTTGATCCTGTTGTTGATATTCCTGTTCTTCTTTATGTTCTTGTTCTTCTTTATATTCTTGCTGATCCTGTAGTTCTTGTTGATCCTGTTGTTGATATTCTTGTTGCTCTTGTTGTTGTTCTTGCTGTAACGTATCTGTTTTTGGGGTATCATTATTAAATTCATCTTCATCATCATCGTCCTTTTCATTAATAAATTCATCTTCATCGTCATCGTCCTTTTTCAAGACTTGGAAATCGCCATGCTTTTTTTTCTTGATTGAGTATCGTAGATGGCTTATTTTCCTCTTGTTTCTCGTCATCTCCTCCAATCTTGGCTTTCTCTTCCTTTTTTGTAGTTTGTAGTTTGAAATTTGTAGTGAGGCCTTTCTTAATCTCATGGTAAGGTGGCTCTTTGGGAAGAAGAGAAATATATGCTCTTAGCTCCAGTATTCGTTTAAATTTATATTTTTAGATTTATTTAATTATATTTCCTCCCACATAATAGGTGAAAGATGTAACGATATTGTTATTATTATTTATTTATACTCACCGTTTATAAGAATAAATCTTCTTTTTTTTAATTGTATATCTCTTTCTTGGTACGATCATGTTAACATATTATACATGTCATCCTCATCATTTCATATGGATTGACAATATTAGCACTTTTGCTGCATATTTTTTCTTCAGTATTTTTGCACATTTCTTCATTTCTTTTTTGCGTTTCTTTCATAATATTATTCTCGTTACATATATCCTCA